TATATTTTTTGTGTGTGTGTGTGGGGGGGGTGGGGGTTGGAACCTTCCCTCTTTTATGTCAATCTGTCACCCCAGATTGACTGATTTGTGCTCAAGATTTGGCCCTAGACTCATGTTGTGTGATCTATGTTCTAGATAGATAAAATTTAAGACAAAAAAAAAAAAAAATCAATTTGATAAATTTAAGAGATCAAATATTTTGACTTGGGTTTCGCCTGATTTCGACCAATTGCAGTCTCTTTGAATTATTGATCGATCTTTGATGAAATTTGTTCCCTAAGCTTACTTACGGGTTCTTCATCCATTCATAGGTTTGTTTATGCAAAAACGAACAAAAGAAAAACATAAAGAATCTCGGATTTGTCAGATTTTAATTTCTCTCGGATCGGATTTACTTTTCATTTAAAGTTTTAAAGAGCTCATATGGCCTAGTTCCAAACTCAAAACTGAAATCTGGTTTAGGGTTTTCGATTAGGGTTGTCTGAGGAAGGTTTGATTAGTATTGGAGGTATCAATTTGCGTCTAGTGTGAAGTTTGAGGATCGGCCTCAAAATTTTGGGTGTATTTCATTTTCCAAACCAATGAATATTTCATTTTCTAAATTCAATTCTTTGATTTATATTTTACTTTTTGGGCATCTTGGAGCAGACTCAGGCGAGTCCTCTAGGACTGGCTCGAATCACTCAGACCAGCTAGGGTCCAAGTTCCTCAATGAAATTGCCTCCATTGGATTTTGCCCAAACCACCTTGTCATCCCCTTACTGGAGAAATCTTCTTTGTAGAAGGTGCAACAACATGGCTAGTTCTTGAGCTTCAGAGTCAGCCAGGAAGTTGTTGGTTTCCACATTGTGATTCCCCTAAGTTCCTCATAGGACTGATTCATAGTTACCAGGATCGCCAACATTGGTAGGTGATCCGTTCTGAAAGCTTGATCCTAAGATCCTAGAAAGAGATCTTCTTTGGATCTCTTTTTTAGAATTTTCGGATCTCGATCCTTAGAACCTGGGGAAAGAGTGCTTTGGATTTTATATTATACGGAGATCAAATTCCGTCCCCATCGATCAATTTTTTTATCTGATGAATCATATGTAGATAGCCAGCTGTATTAGCATGCATCACCATGAGTCACATGTTAGAGAACTAGACATAATTTGGAAGGTGCCATTAAGAAACCATATAAGGAGCTCATAGTGACTACGCTATGGTGCTATTCCTATCTACTTGAGGAACTCGATCGTATCTAATTGGGGAGCTCGATCCCTAGCACATAAGGATGGAGTTCCTTAGATTTAATGTTCTATGGACATCGATCCCTATCATAAGGAGCTTCCGGTTAGCCTCGATCCATCGATCTTGCCCTTGATCCTGATACCGTCTCCGATCCCATTTCTAACAACCATGGATTCCAAAAGAGTGGCTAGACAAAATAGAAATTAGTGCTCTGCATCTTCCTTTGGTTGATACATTCCTCAAACCCTAGCTTGTAGATTGGATTTTCTCCCCACTTAAGCTCGATCCCTTTTTGATGCAAGGAAGATGGGAAGAAGATGCAAAATAAATAAATAAAATGAAAAATAATAAAAGGGCTGAGAGAATATACTCTCTCTCAAGACTTGTAAGGGAGTCCACCCCAAAGATCTCTTCACAAGATCTAAAACAATTTCTTCTCAAATTAACCTCAAACCCTAATTTTATTGTGCTTAATAAAAAAACCTATTTGCATCATTCTCTTGGGGATGGGAGAAGCCCGACCTCGAGCTTGGTGAATTCATCATATCTTCTAATCGTCTTTCGAATAGTTGGTGTGTGGTTCCATCATTCTTTTGGGTCCTTTTTCTTTTGCAATAAACAAATGGATCAAACACCTAATGTGCAACTTGTATGTGAACTTTGAAATGTCAATCATAATCTTGATTTATTTTATAAGATCATCATATCACTTTGGAAGATCGACCTTGATTTCAATATCATGTGGATGTTCCTCAGATCGTGATTCTCGCATTACAATTTGATCATTACATAGAGGATCGGTATCCAAAGTCGATTTTAG